CTCACTCAAGACAGGGCTTGTAATGAGTCCAATTGAAGATTTTTAGTCAGCACCTGCAAACGTCGTCAACATGAGGCGGAAAGTCAAAATGACTAACCCCGGATTTACGCCGATGTCAGCACTACAGTCAGTCTTTTAAACCCCTGCATAAACCTATGGTGAGGCCCTGTACAGATGTCGTAGGCGTCACACCTAATGCCAACTAAGTACCGGCGTCAGAGCTGGGGCTGGTGGGGGAGCATGCCGTAACGCCAAGACCCGCTCAGGTGCCTGTCGGGTTCTGACAGTCTGTTTTCAGGGGGGGTCTCGGGAAGCGGCAAGCCAGATGATTGGTCCACTCAAGTTTTGATCCGTTCCCAATTTCCAAAGCGATACGAGAATTGGGCAATTTCGACTCGTCAACTCTCTCCATGATCTCTCCATGATCTCTCCTTGATCTCTCCTCCCACCAGGACTCCAGACCCAACATAACCCCATGGTAGCCGACCCTTGGCATCTATGTCGCTCCTGAAGACCCTACACGGATCTTTGGCAGATCTTATCTTGGCCCCCAGATACTGGTGGCAGTTCCCGTTGAACTTTGGTAACGAAAGTACCTGAGGTAAGGTAGGGATTGTCACGGTCAAACGCCAAACAGAAAACTGTTCGTCCAACTTGCCCACGTCGGACCGCGTTCTCTCTTTTGCCTTCCTCTACGTATGTTATCTACGTAGAACAGCTGTTCGGATGCAGACATAACTCTTTCCTGGTCTAGCGCTGTCCTAGTTTCTGCTACAGAGTTATCTATAAACCAGAACATCATGTCTCGTGCCAATCGGCCTACCCTTGGTCAATATGACTTCGCCTTTCGTGATCCACCCGCAAACGATCAAATCCGTCGCCCAAGAGCCAACTCGAGACTTCCCGAATTCGAGCCCCTTAGACCCGTCCAAGTTGAAGTCGATTCCAGTTCCGACGACGATATTCCCATCTCGAAGTCGAAACGACCTGCCGCCCAACACTCCCGCTCAATGAGCCATCCGTTCCCCTCGCTATTCTCTGGTAAAAAGAAAAAGGCTACACGTCCCGACTACCAATACGACACCGAAAACTTCGTTGGTGACAGTAATCCTAAGCCGAGGGTGCAGCCCACCATGCAGCAGAACGCTGCTCCTAGGAGGATACCGCGCGGGCCAGTTGACTTCGCAACGGGGAACTGTATGACATGTGCCAGCTTGGTAAGATGGCCTAAGGAGCTTCATGTCTTCAGGTGCACCATCTGTTTGACAATAAATGATCTCAAGCCATATGATCCTACTGTTGGTCATGCCGGTACGCAACCCGGCGGCGCTTCGTTGCAGTCAAACGAAAACGAATTAAACGAATTTGGCCCCGCGCGACCACCCTCGCAGACTCGTACGTTTCGCTATATCTGTAGGCAATGAGTAATACTTACGATTGTAGCAAATTCAATATCACTCGATCATACGAGAAATATGGCCAAGCAATGCTTGCGGTCGTCGTTGTATTCGTGGATGTCAGCACCACCCCGAGAGACCGAATCATGGCGTGACAGGGCCTCGTCTCGGCCATCTAATGAGCATCTGGCGCCACACGCCTCTCCAATGAAGCAAGATAGCTCGCCCGCTTCAATCACCACTCCGCCGCGATATATATATAATGCCGTGTTTGATGAATTTGCCGACCTTAATTTAGAACCGAATCCCCTCAATAATACTGCGTCTCTACCCAGATCGTACTCGACGTCATTTCCTGAGGCTAGGAGCGCAACTTTTCCCATCACCGGCCAAAGTGGTGCGCCTTGCTCTAACACAGACGCCACAACCTCCGAGACAGATCCAAAGAGAGTATTTAAGAAATTGGAAGAGTATCTCATCTCATGTTTCAGTACCCATTCGTGTATTAATCATTCATTTATCACTCGACACATGAGCGCCAGCTCTAAGTTACCTACCGAAACTGTTCCAAAGCGGCATGTGGCTTCGAGACCGGAGCTCGCACGCGATGATGCTCCTATATCAGAACTTGATCCTAAATTACTTCTATTGGGCGACTTTGCGGAAAATGGCACGTGGTGGACTGGTGGTCAAAAGGAGGTCGTACCTTCAAGGAACCCGTCTCGACGGAAGGACGAGGCGCAGTCGTTTGTGACAGCCAAGTCTCCTCGAATTGATTGGGGTAGAGTTATGGAATGGTACCATACAGTTATCAACGCTGCCGAAACATGGCCCGAAGTATATGATGAGATGTTGCAACTCGATCCATCTCAGAGGTTATCGGACACAGCATTGCAGCAGTTTAAGACGTTAGTTGCTGCTGCCCAGGAGCACATTCAAAAGGTTCTACTGAAATGCATGGAGATGCTTTTAAAGCGCCCCGGACGAGTGCTGGCAGAACCTCAAGATGTACGCTTCCTACTTCTGATGCTGGCCAACCCTCTGGTTTCAGGATCAAAATCACATGCGAGCCAGTACCATCAATCGAGTAAGGGGAAGGGCGCTGCTACAGAACTAGATTCCCAAGCTCGATCCTCGTTCGGGCGACACTCCGGAATCATCAAGCGAATTCTCGGCCTTCTTGCTAATTCATCTGACCCGTGCCACCATCATCTAATTACTTGGTTTTCCAGACTACCTGAGCACCTTTTCCTTCAAATCAAGGACCTCATCGGCGGCTTCGTCACCTATCGATTAAACCGCCAGAGCGAAAAGAAACTGGAGCCCCAGGTGGATGTAACAGGTGGTTTAATACCACAGATGTCTAATTCTCGTTCCGGTAACACGCCAGCGATACTGCATGCTGCCCTAGAGGCATCGAAATCGTCCAAGAAGCAAAAGCAACCTGTTGAGCCCAAACGTGCCGCGTATACGGATGACTGGCAAATCAAGGCCGCTGCTAGTGTCATGGGCTTTATATTCGCCGCGAATCAATTAACGCACGTCCGACGCAAGGATAGACCTGATGGGCGAAGCCACGGTCATTTATTGGCGACGAGCGATTTCTACAATAGCTTGGTCGATTGCTTGGACTTCAAGGCTGATTTTGAGGTGTGGGAAACGAGAAGAGGGAGATTTGCTTTTTGCCAGTACCCCTTCTTCTTAAGTATCTGGGCGAAGATACAGATATTGGAATTTGATGCTAAACGTCAGATGGCTGGCAAAGCCCGGGAGGCTTTCTTCGACAGTATCCTATCCCACAGGAGCTATGCCCAGTACCTTGTTCTTAACGTTCGCCGAGATTGCCTTGTAGAAGACAGTCTCAAGAAAGTAAGTGAAGTCGTTGGTAGCGGAAGTGAAGAAATCAAGAAAGGTTTACGTATCGAGTTCCAAGGCGAGGAAGGCGTCGATGGTGGAGGACTCCGGAAGGAATGGTTCCTACTCCTAGTGAGGGAGGTATTCAACCCAGACCATGGTGAGTGTTCTGCAACCACATCAGAAGATGGCGTCTAACATGTTCAGGACTCTTCATATACGATGATGACTCCCGTGTTTGCTACTTTAACTCGAATACCTTTGAGACATCAGATCAGTTCTTCCTCGTCGGGGTAGTGCTTGGATTGGCCATCTATAACTCGACAATATTGGACGTTGCCCTCCCGCCCTTTGCTTTTCGAAAGCTGCTCGCATCTGCTCCCCCCGTAGCTGGTGGCGCACCTGCGCATTCACGTCCTACGATGAACTACACCTTGGACGATCTAGCCGAATTCCGACCCGCCCTTGCGCGGGGACTCCGGCAAATGCTCGATTTCGAGGGAGATGTCCAATCTACTTTCTGTCTTGACTTCGTCATCGAGGTTGATAGGTACGGGACCAGGATTCGAGTACCTCTCTGTCCAGGGGGCGAGACGAAGATGGTGACGAACGCCAACAGACGAGAATATGTAGATCTCTACGTCCGATATCTTCTCGACACTTCGGTCAGCCGACAATTCGAACCATTCAAGCGAGGCTTCTTCACGGTGTGCGCAGGCAATGCACTGACGCTCTTCAGACCCGAGGAAATTGAACTTCTCATCCGCGGTTCGGACGAACCGTTAGATATCACTGCTCTACGAGGGGTCGCGATTTATACTGGCTGGTCGAGAGGAGTAAATCCCGAGAGGGAGCCAACGGTACAATGGTTCTGGGATACGTTTCAACGAGCTTCGCCTGTAGGCCAGCGCCGACTGTTGTCCTTTATCACTGGCAGTGACCGCATTCCTGCTATGGGTGCGGCATCTCTCGTCATTAGGATTAATCTGATAGGCGACGACGAAGGGAGATTCCCTTCTGCAAGGACATGCTTTAACGTCTTGTCCTTATATCGGTGCGCTTCGCGAGGGAGGTTGGAACAATCGTTATGGAGAGCAGTTAACGAGAGCGAAGGGTTTGGACTCAAATGAGATGTAGGCAAATGGGCTCATGGCAGCATTGCAACGGCGTTCTTGGACTTGGGACTGGCCCTATAATGACGGGCCGGGAATACTGGCAACCTGTCGAACACTTTGGAATATCATTTGTTGCTGTAGGAGTAGCATGTGAGTAACAATGACTCCCTTTCGGCAAGGGACGACTTGTCGATGAATGGAGAGCAGAGAAGATATACCCTCAAGGCAGTATTATTACTACAGTATGTAGTAGCTATATCAAATAACTAACCAAACTTTGAAACACTTGACAGCTTGACGAGACTGAACCTGTATGCATGAGGCCTCCTTAATTTGCCAATACTTAAAATTCCCGGAGCCTGATCACGATGGTAGACTTGAGCAGCAGTCCTCTATAACCACTTTTTTAATAACTCAGGTACCTATCTAAACTACCTAAATTCCAACCTATAGCAAACCAAATTCACGAATCTAGCTGGATATCGGGCGAATTTCAAGTACACTTGTGAAGCTTATCGTCTTGCACAACGGCCTCCGTGATAACTTTACCTACCTACCCAGGTGTAGAAGAAGAAGAATATATATTTCAATTAAGGTAACACATGTACATCGTCGAAATGACAATCTTCTGAACGGTTTCGTGGTGTAGTTGGTTATCACGTGAGTGTACAATGCTGAAGGACTCCAGTTCGATCCTGGACGAAACCATCTGTTCATATCTCGTTTCTTTTTAGCCAGTATATTTTGTATGTGGTAAATTGTTTTCTTGCATACTCTCATGTCTTTGCTCTTGGCCGCCTGGTCAGGGTTGTATACCTGTTGTTCGTTGAGATGGGATAAGAAATAGGATTGGCTTTTTCGCTCTCGCCCCTTAGGTAGGTATTTATACCCCAAGCCAGTGACTGCTACCTACCTGATTACACAATAAGTACGAATAGACTTGTGACTCGGGTAATATTAGTAACACCACTAGTAGATACGAACTACGAATATCCGGGATATCTTGTTCTCATTTCCGAATTACTGAGCGGGTGTTGGTACCCAACTTAGGTGCTTTGTAAGTCAATATGTCGTGTTTGGTAGTTACATGTTTCACCCACTATGGTGTCACGTCTGACTATAAGATCTGGCACATGTCATATGTCACGAGGGCACGAGTTGTGGATTTTGACGTATGACTGTTTCTTTTTTCTCTCGAGATGTTTTTGTCATAACCTGCTCCCTTGACAAATTATAACATTGACTTTATTATTCGTGTTCACTGAGCAGGGAGGGCTCGAGCAGTAAGTTTCTTCGAATACTACCCCTGAACTGTCCCTAGGTATAGTCACGTTCAATTTAGGGAGCTGGTAGTGTTGGGCCCGATGGCGAGGTTATACAGGACAGTGGCATCTATAGTTCCTCGCACGACATCCCGTCTCCGAGTCTTTGGTATCACGTCGTAGCACGGCCAAAGTATCTGAACCATCCTCGGTGTGTGGTACATGAATTTGTTGGAACACATAGAGTCTGAAACGAGATTTGTCAAGTCATATAGGGATGATGACTCGATTTGTAATAAACCTGTTATTTGTTTCTTAACATAGACATCTTGATATAATTATTCATGTACCAATATTATGACACATTGAATCTCCTTGTAAATTGATAAAATGTGGCAATGAAAGTTGATTAAATTGTAAATAAGTTATTGATATTTTAGTTTATAGTGCTCCAATTTCATAAGATGGGGTTTGCATACTAGGACGGTTGCGACATAGTTGGATATTTTCATCTTTTATTTCTTAGCATCCCTTTTCTAAAATATCAGGTGGCATCTTTTTCGTGATGGCATTTTGCTGTTGATAATACATGTGTGTAATACTCCGCTAGTGTAAGCAGGCTGAGTATACGAGTATAACACATCCGAATTATACAGAGTTAAGAGGGAAAAAAGACTCAACTCTATATCTGATTGGCTCCAAGGAACTGGGCGACTGGGGCGCGGATGAATACAAAATTTCCGAGGGCGAACTAAAACTAGATGGATCCCAATCTGCCAAATTTGCACAGAGTGGAAACCGATCACGGTCTGGATGGCGCAAATGGGGGCGATGGTGCTACATATGCGTAGTTGCGGCTAGTCGGCGCGCGAGTAGTTCTGATCCTTACTTGACTGGACTAGGCGCAGCCTTGGGTCCTTGGGTGATATCAAACGTTGCCATGAAGCGTGACTAGCCTTCCAATGATAAGATGGATCGGCCCTATTTCCCAGCCTTGCGTGGCGTCGCTAGCAATCAGTCATGACTTCACTAGGTTAGTGACCAGGTGGGTTGGTGGATAGGTAGACGTAGATTGGCATCCAGGTACGGGAGGATGCTTCGGGGTGGTAAGCATTTGCTTTGTTTTTGGCCTTGCTTACTTCCAACTACTGGCGTATGCTTCACTGGCGGCACGTTTAGCCCTTGCTCATCCACATTGGCTGGATCGGCTAGACCAGCCAGGCGTGTTGAGCATATATGTCACTAATTGCGATGTCGGATTGGTAAGGCGAGCTGTCGTCCTTTGAGCCCACGAGTCACACGGGTAGGGCGTGATAATCAGTAGCAGGAGCTGGATGGCGGGCATTGATAGCAATTTATGAGCAATCGAATGCACCATCTCGGCACGTTATACGGAGTAGGGGTGCTCCCAAACTCCGGTACCTTGCGGTCTTTGGGTCTGTGGGATGCATGCAATTGGGGGGACCCTGAAGGCAACCTTGATACTTACCTCCTACATAGTAGACCTTTTGTTGTCCGCATGGGGCATGTGTAAGCCGAATTGTCCACTAAGCAGCGACTCCCGCCGTGACCGTTCGGCGCTGAAGGTTGAGACCATGACAAAAGCCAATTCTGTCTGACCTGCAGCTTGCTCAGAATAAGAGAAAAAATCGCAAAAATCGCGAGATCGTTATTGTAAATATGTCGGGTCGGTCAATCGGCTCCTGTTCTTAAGAGCCGGGCTACTTCGGATAGAATCGTGAGTTGGGAGCCGTACCACGACCGAGAACCCGTTTGACGTTCGTGTCATTATCGTCCAGCACAGTGAACAAAGGCTGTCCTCGGCTGTAGCAAAGTGACTTGGGAGATACATGGTCTTGAAACTTCCAAGAGCCGTTGAAACATCAGTGAGATCTCAATCTGAGGAATATAATAGAAATTCCTTCCCGTGAGTTGAGTTATTTTTTCATGAGACACATTTTCTTGATGGGGGTTTGATACTGACAGAGTAAAACGGTCCTTGAATTGGGTCTTGTGTGATGTCAACAGAGGTCGGCCGCGCACTGTCATAGGAGCTCGCCGGAGTTACGAGCGCGGTACTTACGGCGTAGGTGAGATGGGGGGTTTGTCCGTGGGCTGCTGTGACACGGCCGGCGGACTACAGGCTTCTACGAGGTTCTAGAGAAAAGGGGCAAGGTAAAATACAATAAAACCGAATAATTTTCACCGAGATATCCTCGAGAATTTATGTCTTGTGATTGTCTGATCTACTCGTTTGATCTATGTCAGCTCATCTTCTCTCGCTGTTATCCGTCGACTCATCTTATTGGGATTGAAACATCTGATCTCAAGCATGATCATGTTAGTGTAATAGTGCTGAGATGCTGAGATGCAACGAATGGCTAGTAGCTCGTAGCTCATGGCGGGGTGGCGCGGATGTAACTCAGAGGTACCCGTCTATCAACCATACAGTAGGAATTGGCCGAAGCTGGTGCTTTTACCCCTCCAAAACGAGAATCCTCGTAATGAAGCTGTAGGGAATCTGTAGGGGACCATAGGGCGAGGATCCCTGTGAACCTGTAAAGTGTGAGAGGGATCTGGCACCCCACCAGCCCACCTACCTGCTACCCTGTCAACACCCTGACACCTTACCTGAACCCGCCTAGCTGCATCATATTTTTTCTTGGTATTTGTCTCTCAACCGTTTATTTTATGTCGCTCATATGCCATCATCAACCGCCTAAGCCTAGGCGACCCCTCCAAATTCCCTCTTCCCACTCAACAACTGCATATTTAATCTGACCTACCTCGTCCCGAAATCTTTCTTCCTCCTGAGACTTTCCTGATCAACTCTCAAGAAAACACCAGAAACAAACTAATTCCTATCAATAATATCAGGTGAGTTCCAAGCTTCCCCAGTTGAATCCCAGACAGCTCCAGCTCCAGCTTCTTTCATTACCCCGCTATTCGTCCGTTACAGGGGACATGGTATTGTATCCACGAAGCTCTTGTTTCTCTACCCCGCCAACATGAAGTACTTGGCTTTGTTTGGAATTGGAACCTTGCGGGAAGACGCGAGGCGACTGTCTTCAAGTCGTCTGTTGCCCGTAGGGGTTAGCAACGATTTCAAGCTTGTTGAGGCGACTTCCATTTCCCCTTGTCCAATTCTATACAAATACCTCGTCTCTTGGATCCCCCCCTCGCGAAGCTCCGAACTTCCAGCCTTCATCCTTCAACCGGCTCATCTCATCAATTGCAGTTCAACAAACCCCCCTACAAGCCAAAACATCCACTGACTCCAACTGTCCCTCGATCTAGATTTCAAAATGGTTGTCAAGGTTGGCATCAACGGATTTGGCCGTATCGGCCGTATCGTCTTCCGCAATGCCGTCGAGCACAGCGACATCGAGATCGTCGCCGTCAACGACCCCTTCATCGAGACCCACTACGCTGAGTACATGCTGAAGTACGACTCTACCCACGGTATCTTCAAGGGAACTGTCTCCCACGAGGCCGATGGTCTGATCGTCAACGGCAAGAAGGTCAAGTTCTACCAGGAGCGTGACCCCGCCAACATCCCCTGGAGCGAGACTGGTGCTGAGTACATCGTCGAGTCCACCGGTGTCTTCACCACCACCGACAAGGCCAAGGCCCACTTGAAGGGTGGTGCCAAGAAGGTCATCATCTCTGCCCCCTCTTCCGACGCCCCCATGTACGTGATGGGTGTCAACGAGAAGACCTACGACGGCAAGGCCGACGTTATCTCCAACGCCTCCTGCACCACCAACTGCCTTGCTCCCCTTGCCAAGGTTATCAACGACAAGTTCGGAATCATTGAGGGTCTCATGACCACCGTCCACTCCTACACTGCCACCCAGAAGACCGTCGATGGTCCCTCCAACAAGGACTGGCGAGGTGGCCGTACCGCTGCTCAGAACATCATCCCCAGCAGCACCGGTGCCGCCAAGGCCGTCGGCAAGGTCATCCCCGAGCTTAACGGCAAGCTTACTGGAATGTCCATGCGTGTCCCTACCTCCAACGTCTCGGTTGTCGACTTGACTGTCCGCATCGAGAAGGGTGCTACCTACGATGAGATCAAGGCTGCCATCAAGGAGGCTGCCAACGGTCCTCTTGAGGGTAAGCTCCAAGCTCTAGTATTCGTAAAAAACATCTAAACAAGAAACTAACAATATCATAGGTATCCTCGGCTACACTGAGGACGATGTCGTCTCCACTGATTTGAATGGCGACACTCACTCCTCCATCTTCGATGCCAAGGCCGGTATCTCTCTAAACAAGAACTTCGTCAAGCTTGTCAGCTGGTATGACAACGAGTGGGGCTACAGCCGACGTGTCCTGGATCTTCTGTCCTACGTCGCCAAGGCCGATGCCAGCAAATAACTCTCTAGATTGTAATGACTTGGAAGCTTCTAGCGGTGGTGTGAAAACGTGCGGGCGGCTTTCATC